GGGTAGTGGCAAAGGGAAGCAGGGACTGCAAGCCAGCAACCCGTCTGAGTTCGGGGAGATCGAAGAGCTTTCCAAGTGGTTTTTGTAGGCACCAGCAGAGGGCGCGCTCGACCTCAGAAGGCAGTGACCCCGCGGTGGGAAGCGCGGGGGAGGCTGCGTGGCTGTGAGGTATACACACAAGGGAGTGAGGCGGCGAACATTGGAGCGTCTCCAGCACACGCCCCCCACCCGCATTCCGATGGCCTGTGCTGCAAGAGGAAGGGCCCATCTCATGACCCCCAGCTTCACAACACATGAGCATTCTGGCAAATATATCCATTTTGCTTGATGTTTGCAAATGTCCACTCATCCCCAAGAGTTGAGCAACTCCCAGTGGATTGAGGCAATTTGGTTCACACCTTGGCCCACTTGCCACCTCTGATAAGTCCTGGCAGCAACTGGCTGGGGCTCCAGCGTAGCAACCAGGCATATTCTCCCCACACTGACAGGTAGGTCTGACACTAAATCGCCACACTTTTGGTAAGTCATTGGCCTCAGTTTCCCCACCTATAACAGAAGTGGCCATAAGTGACCATCTTCTTGAGCCTTTGCAGTTGTGCCCCAACCACAGGAGGGAGTTAGGGGAGAAAGGGGAAGGCTGAGGGGGAACCAGCCTGGGACAGACATGTGATGGGGGTGGGAGATATGAAATCAGGGTCCCCACCACTCTTCAAATGACTGTGGGTTCACTCTGGGAATGTGGGATGGATCTGTGTCTACCTAATTCTTTGCTACATTTGGTCGCAGTCTCTAAAAAACAAAGCACAATGTAATGTTTTATGTCCAAAGAACTTAAGGAGTAAGAACAGAAAATTAAATATTCAAAATACTAATAGTGTAATAATCATCTATGCCCTCAGTTTGCCATGCGGGTTTGTTTTCCTTAGCCTTCTGAGCTCCGCAAGGCTATGAGTTGCATCATTCCTCTACATTACAGCCAAGGACACTGAAACCAGAGGCTGTGACTTGAAGAGTGGGCTTACGACAGAGCCTGGCACTGATGAAGGCAAGGAGGAGCAGATACGCCCCATGGTAGCCTTCTAGTCTACCCAGAAATGACACTCCACACATGAATGACAGTGGGCTTTTTGGGTTAAATGAGTTAACAGATAATTAAAATATTAAATTGCAAAATTATGCCTCACTCTAAATGTTAATGATAGAACTTCTTACACAAGAAGGAAAAGAATTACAGAAAGAATCAGAAAATAAAATCCAACAATTTGGTGTTTATAAGTTACAGATATATAGCAAAATATACATACACATTTAAAAATTAAAATGCTGAGCTAAATAAACACTCATGCAAATGCAAATTCAAGAAAAGCAAAGGGTGTCAGTTATAATATTTGGAGAAAAGAAGTTTAAGCTAGAAGCATGAAAAGTGGCAAAGAGGGCACTAAAAGGCACAGTTTTTCAATATATCACTATTAAATATATATACCCCAAATACCATGGTATTTATTTATTGGCAATTTATACCCTGCCTATTTCTCAAAAAAGAATTGAGATAGTTGCACGACTAACATAGCAACACCACACATAAAAGAGGAACAGAAATTAAAAGTTAACAGAAATACATAAAGAAAAAAACCCACACAAAATCAAACTACAATTAGATCAGGTAAATGAGTGTTCTTAACTATTTTGGGGTCACAGAGCTCTTCCAAAATAAGAATTCTACAGACCCCTCTCCTAGAACAGTTCATTCATACACATATCCACATAGCTCTGTTCAGTCCCTAGGGATCCACAACTTTTTAAAACCCCTGCTCACATGACCTGGCTGGTGTGGCTCAGTGGTTAGAGTGTCGGCCACGGACTGAAGAGCCCCGGGTTCAATTCTGGCCACGGGCAGGCACCTTGGTTGCAGGCTCCATCCCCAGGCCAGTCGGGGAGCTTGCTGGAGGCAACCAGTTGATGTGTCTCTCTCATATTGATGTCTCTCCCCCACCCCTTTCCACACTCTCTGAAGAACAATGGAAAAAATATATCCTCAAGTGAGGATTAAAAACAAAAACCAAAACAACCAAAACCCTGCTCACAGACTCCTCAGAACTCTGAAGTAAACAAAAGTTAGAGAAAATATGGATTTGTATAAAGTAGTTTAAAAACTGAGTTAAAAATAGAACTGATGGAGTAAAAACACATTTCTTGAGAGTACACAAATGCTTTATAAAAATTGATAATATATTCAGGCCCAAAGAAGTTTTTGGACACGTTGAAATGTTGACACCACACTGAAGTAGGAAATAACAATGACCTAAGCATTCATCACTTGGAAATATAAAAAAATAATAACACTTGGGCCAAAAGGAAATCCCTAATATAACACAAGAAATACCACATGCCAAACTTACGGAGTACAGAAAAAGCTCTAAGAAAAAAAGTCATAGACCAAATTACCCACATTTACTAGAAATATTTAAAATCTGATTAACTAATGCCCTGGCTCGTGTGGCTCAGTTGGCTGGAGCATCATCCTGTGCACCAAAAGGCTGCGGGTTTGAGTCTCAGTCAGGCCACAGAGCCAGGTTGCCGGTTCGATCCCCGGTCAGGGTGTATACAGGAGGCAGCTGATGGATGTTTCTCTCTCTCCCTTCCTCTCTCTCAAATCAATAAAATATATATATGATTAACTAATAATTAATCTTGGAAACATAACGTATTAAGTCAAAAATAAAGAATACATTTACTTTGACACAACAATTCAATTAGTAAACAAAATCTAGAGTCGGAGCTTTACAACCCCCAACATCTGCCATGAGGGTAGAAACACATGACAACAAAAACAAACAACTAAATTCAAGGTTGACTGAACTATTACCAGGGTCCTCCCTTATAACATTACACTGAGAACCTAAGTAAAATGAATTTAAATACATAATCAAACCGTGAAATAAATTGAACAGAGAGCTAGGTTCTGCTCACACTTCCAAAAATGAAAAGTACCTGGTCCTAACCATGGTTGAGAACCTGTCAACCCTTCAGAAAAGGGTTTTAATCCTGTTACATAAGTTGTCAAAAGGAACAAGGGAGATGGGTTGCAGGGGGTGTGAGGGGAGAAAGTGCATGTTGCAAAACTTGAGAACAGCATAAAATGAGTTGAGAGAAGCTGGGAGTGAGCTGAGGACAGAGACTGGCATGAACTCCATGTGGCTTGTTTAGAGGGGGTGCAGCAGATTGGCTGAAATGGGGGGTTATGTGCAGAAAACTCCCGGAAGGTTGATTTTAAGGAGAGTGGTGACATGTGCAAAGTAATGTTTTAAAAAAATCAATTTGGTTGGGGTGTACAGAGGGAGCCATCAAAGGCAGGGAGGAAACAGATGACTGCCTGATAGGGACAGAGTACGGGAGGGGTGCCAAGGAAGTAGATCTGGTGGGAGTTGGTGGCTGCTGTCACCCACACCAAGCAGGTGTCTCGGCATTCTCTCCTCACTCCTGGTAAACGACTGAACACCCTGGGTGCAGGCCTCCTGCCAACAATGCCCAGGCGCCACCTGGTCAGGTCAGCTATGGTGCAGCAGGTTCTGGGGGACCCTGGGGTGCCAGTTAAATGTATCGCATACTCACATAGCAAAGAGGGACTCAACAGAAGTGATCTCCCCAGCCCATCAGACCAGTCCTTTTAAAATCTCTGGCTACCAAGCTCCATTTACTCAGTAATAGTTATGGCTCTCCCAAGTTATTCATCAAAACTACACAAAACTGCTGAGCTGAGCTTCTGAATAGCTGAAATAACCAGCGTTACAATGGGTTCATGGGATTCCAGCCATGTTTGGAAAACTTCAAAATAGCTCAGACTGTCTTCTCCCACACTAGCTGAGGAGCCTGGGGGAAAGCTAGGACTAAAGATCCCCATGGCCACATGAAGGCCTGAGGGCCTGGGACAAGCAATTACTAACTAGCTAGGCCTGTCACTGCTAGACCCAGCACTGCTGTCACTGCTGGAGCCCATTCCTGGGCCACCTTCAAGCTCTGCTCAGTCAGGGGAAGCAGGCCTGACATTTGGGAGATGTAGGGCTGCATGGGTGCCCAGCACAGAGCTCACAGCATCGATGTGTGTGTGGGGGGGAACATTGTAACAAACCTGGGAGCTTTAAAAACACACCACTGAGCTGCACCTCTGGGGATGCCCACTGAATCGGTCCATGTGGGACCAATCCCCAGCTGAACGCCAGTTGGGGGGGGGGG